TTTATAAGATATTTTTCGATCAAACCGGTACTTCTCTAATTGAAATATTAGTATTTGGTTTAAAACGTGGTTTAAATCAAAAAATAACAAATTTTGCCAACACTATCTGAAAATATGATATAAATTTAACTTTTCTTTAAAATTATAATTAGTTATTAAAAATATATAAGAAATTTAGACGGCTAAAAGTATGCCGCCCCCAACCATTTAGATTTCTAAAACTAGCGCTAGCTGCTTATAGTTTCGTGAGAGCACACAGTTGTATAAGTATCTAGATATAAAAATGTCGAATCTGATTATAAGTTTAATGTAAAAAAAATTTTAAAAATATATTCTCGTTTTAAATGAGAATTTATTCGAAAGAATGATAAAAATAGAGGTTATTGACATTTTTTTATATGGTGTTCGAATTGAATGAAAACAATATATAAAAATGTTGTTTACGTATTTTGTGCTCTCATAATAAGAGTTTCTGTCGGGAACAAGTGTAATTCCTGTATATAAGTAAAATAAAAATTGTATCTGTCTTTAGATACATTTTTAAATTGTATCGGTATCTAGATCCATTTAAAAAGTATTTTTAACGCTCAGTAAATTAATCATAAGACATATTCCAAAATAAAATTTTAATTTTATATTATGAAAATAATAATTTTCAGATTTTGCAAAAATTATGATTTTTATTTTAAAATTCATATATAATGGGGTGTTTTTTAAGAATAACTCATAATAGTGATAAAAACCTATAAAATATTATACACATTAATTGGTTATTATAGGAAAACTAAGACACCCAATTTATTTTTATGTAAATTTAAAAAAGTCAGAAGGTTTTACCCTCCACCCCCCTTATTTTACCTTTCGAAGGTTAAGAAAAATGTCTGAACTTAACCATTAAAAAAAATATTTTTGGTTAATTCCCAGACAAATCAACATGAGGTTTATTTCAACCCGATCCAATCAGATTTTACTAAAAATTTGATTATACTATCATTATAAAAGCATAAAAATTTTAGCCTTGCACTCCCTTTAATTATAGATATCTTTGGATATAATTAAGAAGTGTCAGGTAAATTTCGTTATACAGTCTAATGGTAGGCCTTTAAGGTTATGATGTTTAATAGTTTAAAAAAATTAAATGTCAAAAACAAGAAAACTCGGAAATATAAAATCAAATTAGCATTATTTGTTCACTCTCAAATTCTTTATTCATAGCTATAGGATTAACTAATAAAATGCAAAATTATTTTTCCGAGCACAGGTTCTTAGGCGATATGGCATTTCAATCATTAGTCAATTGTTAAAATCCATAATAAATATTTGATAAATCATTCATTGCTTAAAGCCTTTAAAGATTTTATGTATTTAAATAAAAGACCGGTAAAAATGTGGGTGGGGTGAGGCTATTATTAATTTATGATATTTATTTCTTTCCCAAAATTCGCAATTTTTTTTCTTTTTTTAAACATTACATTCGATTTTGATAAACATATACGTTGTGAAGCTTAAGAAATACACTTCCTTTAATTATTACAAAATAAATCATTAATAATTAACGATAAAATTTGAACTATCTATCATAAAAAATTACATGCTTCGACCAGTATCCGCTTGAACATCTAAATGATTCATTATTATTAATGTGATAAAACAAGTAAGAAAAAAAGCTTAAGAGAAAAAGATATCACATATTAAAATTAAAAATCCAGGAAAAATTCAAGATGTTCTGAAAATTTTTCAGAAGTAATTATAATTTATCGATGAATACGAAATCATTAAACAAAAAATAATTGTGAAACAACACATTCTCAAAATGAAAAATTAAGGGATTAACGGTTTTCCAAAATTCTTGGCTAAAAACAAGAAGAATTTTCTACAGAATTCATGAAAAGGATAGAAAAATAGGTCAAAGAAAAGGGTGTATTTTATCTTAAACAAAGTATCCCCCTTACCTCAAAAAAACTTTTCTTGATTTTAAATAATTATCCTTATAAAATCAATCCTTTGACATATTACAATTATTGATGAATATTAAATAATTATAACGAATATCATATCTCCTAAACTGGAACTATGCACTTGAAAATTTTCATATTCATTAATTAATCCTTATATCCATAAAAATTTGAGATAAAAAAATGACATTTAATTTTATGATTTCCGGTTTTTAAAATTTAAAATTATTTATAATATTTAACATTATATAGTATTAAAGGCCTAAAGTAGGCTATATAAGAAATTTAAATAACGCTTCTAGATTATATTCAAAATTAAAAGGAATTGCATTTTGCTCAAAATACTTAATTTTTCGACGTTTATAGACCCATATCCTAGCCGCAGTTTGGAGGCAAATATTTTGCTTTTTTAATATTTATAATATATATACTTTTGTAAAATTTTTAGTTTGAAGGAATCGGGTTGGAAATCATGTTTCTTTTGTTAATTTGCCATGGAACATATTCCTATTTTTAAAAAAAGTATTGTATAAAAATAAAAATTCTCGCGAGGAGAAGAATATTTCCTTTCATCCCTTTAACTGGAAAAATATAGTCGACTGAGTTTTTTCTTATAATTGTCCAAATCATTTTTTAAAAGGTATATTTCTTGTATTTTTAAATAACCATAAATAATACAAATAATTATTATTCTAAATTTTATTTTAACATTTTTATTGTCTTTACATACACAATATAAAAAAACTTTTTACCTAGATTTTTATACATTTGTAATTGATGATCTAAAAAAATTTAATCTTGTTAGATGATGGGTTATCATTTATTTACTATTTATTATTGCTAAATTTTCTCACTTAAATAACGGAATACTCTTAAGTTTAAACATTATTTTCTTTTTTGAATTCACAGAAAAAAAAAGAATTTTTTGATAGTTTTGTTACCCAAAAGATTTATTAAATCTTATAAATAAGTTTATTTATAAAGGAATTTTATTTTTCAAATATAATTACATTGATTATATAATATCAGTTACTACTATTATCAAATTACTGTGATATCTTTCAATGTTTTTTTTTCTTCCTTAGTTAAATTTGATGGTGAAAGTTTAGCCTTCCTTACTACATTTAAGCAAATTTATGAAGCTAAGTTAAATAATAATTTAATATTTTGATTTAACCCTTTGACGCCCAACTTTTTAATAATTAAAAAAAAATATATTTTCTATAAATTATTCATTTATACACTCCATAGATGCCCAAAATTTTCCAACTTTTATTTAAAAATACACAGGTAAATAAAAATGATTATGCAATTTGATATCATCAGGAATATTGAAATATCTATTTTTTATGAAAATCTCGAAAATAATTTCTATATTAATTAAAACAAAAATATATATTACATTTTGCATATTTTGTTCTGGAGTATGCATAACTTACATCTTTGCCTCGTTTCGCAGGTATCCGGCCAATGACCAGTGTTGTCAAATCTGATATCAGATAGAGGTGCCATTATAGAAGAATTTTTTCTATAATGGTTCCTATATCTGATATATTATCAGATTGCTTCTAATAGTCCCTACCATAAATATACCGATTTCTTTTAATTTTTTAGCCAATTCTACTGATGGAAAGTAGTTATCGCAAAAGAGTTTATGATTTCAAAGTTTCGGGATTTTTAGCCAATTGGAGGACTATATCACCACTTTTCCCTAATTCCGATGGTGTCGGATTAGTTTGCTTTCTCGCTTAAATCTTAAAATTATATACAATACAGGAGGATCGGCTAATGGAAAACTTTGATATCCCATTTATGAGGCTTCGATTTTGTATATTGTTTTAAAGTACTCCGCCCTTTGAAGGGATGATTATTTCATCAACACATACTCTTTCCTCATCTCTAGTTTTCGCATATTTTATTGAATCCCTGAAATAAAAGGTCTAATTTTAAAACATTTATCTTATCCATCTTGATTTCTTTGGGTAAATTGAGAATTATCGTTAAAATGTAAATATTTTCGCAATATTTGAAACCTGCTACAAGACATAGTTTCCGGAACCTGAGGGAATGTCAATTCCGTAGACTAATATTGTCTATATGAAGAAACTCTAATTAAAGAAGAAAAAAGATGTATGCCTAAAAATTATTCTAATTCATTTATATCAAGATTTAGCGATCGATTTATTTGCTGAAAACTGAATAAATTATTTTATTCCCATATATTATTTAGTATATTATTTGAAATAAATAATTTAAAGTACTGATATTGAGTTAATATATTGGTTAAAGTGGAAAAGTATAATTTGTGTCCAATTGATGAATATCACCTGCTTTCCATTTTATATTATTTTGGATGATAATATTATCATTATTTTCTGGATCTTCTATCTCGACTTGAAGATTATTAGATGTTGGAATTGATGAAGTTGAAAGAGAATCATCGTAAAGAGTGTGCAAGATATCTTCTTCATTGTCTGATTCATCTATGTCGGCTTCGGAAATGTCTCCCTCGACTAGTATTAAATTATTTAGCATCTATAAATTATACAGAATAATTTTCAAAAATATAAAATTAAAATATGAGTCATGGACATAGGTCTTATTAACGTCAAATTCAAAATTGGTGTGGTCAGATTGGATTTGGAATACATTTTATGGTGAAATATAATTATAACTATAGAAAATCATTATAAATATAAAATAAATGTTTAAAAAAGGTATTCTAAAATCCCAGACTTTTTTGGCATCATACACTTTAATAAAAAAAGAGTAATAATTAATAAAAATTTTAGAATTATTAAATATTATCCACAGAATTCGTTATATTGCCGTTATAAAATCATATAATTCAGTAAAATGGTAAAGATAAAATTATGAATATAGGATTGGATGAAATTTAAAAATCGTATGATGTTAAATTAAATCTATAGGCTTTTATAAATTTAAAACATATAATTATATTATATGATGTCAAAACAAATCGTGAGACGTTAAAGGGTTAAGTGGCAAAAATATTATAAATTAGCAGGAGTTTATTATAATTAAAAGGCAGGTCAAAGAAGATGTTTTAATAAAATCTCATTTGATTCATATGAACTTTATTCCTATTGTTATTATGGCATAATATAATAAGAATTTAAATAAGGGAAATAAATTATAAAAAAATATTTATAGAATAATAAATAATCATTTCAATTGTAAATGACTGTTCCGTAGTCCTGCTGAATCTCTCCCTATTTGAGATATCTAATTTAATTAAAATTAATCATATAATATTATTCAATTTATATTATAACTTACATTACATATAGAACATAATTGTTTATTAAATTCTGGCATATAATTAGCATTGCAATATGGGCACTTTATCAAATCTTTACCCCTAAAAATCTTAATTAATAAAAACAAATTTAATATAAAACCGATATATGGGTTTGTAAGTTCGAGCACAAATTGTAAACGGGTTGAATTCATCATAACATAGTGTTTCTTCATCAACTGGATTTTTTTCACATAGTTTGAGTATATTGCGCACCTGTTGATTATTTTGATATATAGATAATTACAAATAATCAATTATGTTAGTTCATCTGGATTATCACATTTATTAAAATCGCTGAGCTGGCTCTCAAGACCTTTAGGTTCAAATCCAAGTTATTGGGTTATTTTAGCCTTTGTATTACATTAAAAGGGTCTATGTTTAAGTATTATTGTCTTGTTAATGGGTAGCCCAAATTCTTTGTCACACTAAGAAAATAAATGTTTTCATTACCAAATATTTTTCAAATAAAATAATTAAAAACGTGTTTTCCCCCGTTCTTATGGAAATTTTCTTGCCTAATTAATTAAAAATTTAGGGGATTGAGGAGCTGGTTTCCCGAAACGCTAAAAATTAAAAGGATATTTTTTGCATTTTCTGATTTCTTGGAGTTCCAAGAGGTCTGAATTTCTGGAGGTAAACAAGGTGAGAGACATGCCAAACATGTCTTTTGCCGCCGAGCCAAGATGTTAAAGCCATTGGAAAGCTTGCCATTCTTATTTAATAGGCCTACTACAAATTATTGGGGGAACCGGTGGATATCAAAGATTTGCCGATCAACCTATTCTATTCTGATAAGCATGTCACAATAGCGGCCGCCGACTTTAAGAGAGAAAGAATGCCTAGAAAATAGATCCACTTGCTTATAGCAGGGAGCTCAGACGGAATAAGACAACATAACCTATGGCTAATGGGAATTTGGAATCCTCGTCCATGAAAATTCCTTTCTCCTACTCGGGATCGCTTCTAACCAATGGCGGTTAGAAATTTTGAAGATTAGTTAGATAAGGAGATAAACAAAATTTTTCTAATGTGAAACATGGAAGTTATAAGGCCATCTAAATGAGTGGAAAAAGGGTGGTCGGAACCCTGGGAAACTAAAGTGCCAAGATTGTTTGGCCGATAGAAGGATCGCTTAACTTGATAAGCAAGGAAATAGTCATTAAAAAAATATTCGAGATGAAAGGAAACAAGCAATTGCCATTAAATTTGGGGGATGGGGGGGGCGTGAAAATCCAAGTTCCCCTCGCCAGCAAAGAAGCAAATGACCAAAAAACTTAAGAACTAGAAGGGGCTCGACGAAATGTTTAAATTTTAATTCAAAGGACTTATATTGGAGGACCGGGGAATATTTAAAGATGTACAAGAATTTAAAAAACCTTTAAAAACTGATATGTGGGAAGGTGAAGAAGATTTTTTGGCGAATTAAAGGAATTGAATCAAAGTTATCAAAATTTTTTAATAAAATGAAGTTGAAAACCGAAGAAGCTAAAAGACAGAGATCTTCATAAATATAATGTAATATGGGTAAAAAAAATTTAATTATAAAAACTTTTATATATCATATAAATTTAATCATTTATAAAATAAATAAATTTATAATAAACATAAAACCCTTGATAAACTTTAAAATAGTGATTAGATTATAATTTCAAGGAATCATACTAAAAATAAAAAAAATTTAAAAGATATTAGCAACTTTATTTCTATGAATTAGCATATAACATTTAATGATTTTTACCATAATATTTAATAAGCCTATGTAATACAAATAAATTAACGGGCTACTTATGATTTTATTATATAAAATAATAAATATTAAAAAAAAATTTTTTTGAATTAAAACTTAAAGATTTTTGAAACTGTTATACTTTTTGAACCTATTTTACATTGGGTAAGTTTGATATTACTATATTAAAGTTAATGTTTTTGTAAAATTTTAATTTAATTTAATTTTGTATTTTTATTTGTTTATTTTATCAACGAAAAAAGACTATTATATTTTATGAGAATTATTGTAAAAGAATCATTAAAATCATTAATGTTTTTTATGGATTTAAAAAATTTTTCTAATTAAAATTTTTATGGAATTTAGAAATAAAATTACAAAAACAGTTTAAAAAGAGTTGCAAAAATATTAAATAAAATCTTAAAAAATTAAGATCGAAAAGGATTGAATTTGTTCTTTGAATATAGGATCTTACTGTATATTTAGGCCGTAATATTAATTCATCTGATTCTGAATTTTTAGAATCAGATGATGATGATGAAATAATAAAATTCATGCATTTGCTAATCTATAAACTTTAAATAATAATATTTAAATTAAACTATATAATATAGGACAGATATAGTAGTGGGTTTAGAGGTCTGCATTGGGCGGGGTTTCGGCCCGCCCGGCCACAGGCGGATGGGCGGGTAAAAAATTTTTTTAAAGTATATATCGAATATTAAGCGCCAAGGTGGTATCATAAAAATTCTAAAAAATTTCAAGGGCCTATGAAAATAATATTGAAACTATGGGCGGGCGGGTTAAGAAATTTGACAATGGGCGGGCGGGTTAAGGAAATTTAAATTTTTTGTTCAAAAACAAACTAAAGAAAATCATAATTAATTATGATCAATAATAATATTTCTTTTTTTATTGTACCAATCGTTTTTTTAAGTGAAGAACACTTTTCTTTATTTAATTTTTCCCACCATATATAATGTCTCGTAATGGATGTCATTGTTGTAATACCCGGATGTCACGTTGCAATATATGCAAAACTCTTTTTTGAAGTGAATACGGAATGATTAATCTGCCATTCCAAAATAAAATACCGTCATCATTTTCTATTTCATATATTCTTGTTCTAAGCTTGCAAATCTGATTTTGTAAATTTGTACCATTTCTTTTCTTGATAGAGTTAATGTGTCATAAGTAAGATTTCTTATATATTTCACTGTTTTATTTTCACTTGTTATTCTATCATCATTTTTCTCTAGTGGGTTTCGCGATAAAGCATCTGCAATTATATTATTAGCGCCATTCTTGTACATTATATTATAATCATATGCAGATAATTTATAAACCCAACGTAATAATCTTTGGTTTGTTAATAAGCTTAAATCTCTGTTATTACCATATATCTTTATTAAAGGTTTGTGGTCTGTTCAAATTTTAAATTTTCGTCCATACAAATAGTTGTGAGATTTTTTTTGCTTCTTTGTCTATTCTAGAATAATTCTTTTCAGCGTCTTGTAAAGTTCTTGAGGTGTAAGCTATTGGAAATTCGTTACCATTATCATATTTTTGCATGAATACAGCTCCATGTCCTTGGTTAGATGCATCTGTTTCTAATATTAACTCGAGGTCTGGTTTATAAAACTGTATAGTATTTTGTTCTGTTACTATTCCGAATAGCATGAAACGATTACGAAAATAGCACGGTATTTTATTTTGGAATGGCAGATTAATCTTTTTACTCACTTCAAAAAAGAGTTTTACATATATTGTATATGGGACATCCGGGGAAGAGGATATACTTCAGACGTATATCCTACTTTGGTGGAAACGACAAGAGATTTGCCAAAGCTATCAAGATTAGCAAGAAAAATATTGGCAATTCCTGCAACTAGTGCTTCTTCTGAACGAAGATTTAGCATTGCTGGAAGGTTTTTAGAACAAAGAAGAACGTGATTGAATCCATAAAATGTCGATTCATTATTATTTTTGCATTATAATTATATATAATATTAATTTTATATTTATATTTATTTCATAAATATTCTATTTGATCAAATAAATTGTTCATAATTTAATTTAAATATTTTTTTATGCTTTCATTAATTTCCTAAATTATAAACTTTTTGTAGAGGTGTAATGCTGAAATATTTATATTAGATGCTTAAAAAATTGAAAAAATGGCCATTATTAAATTTTATAAGTGGACTTGGGTTAAAATTTTTTATAAATAATGGGCGGGTGGGTAAAAAATTTTAGACTAATGGGCGGGCGGGCAAGGAATTTAGACAAATGGGCGGGTATATATTTTTTGAAAACTATAGAAAAATTGAATGCTGTTCATCATTTTTTTCAAAAAACGAACTTCATACAGGAATCGTATATAACATTAGTAAATTTAGATGTTAGGGATACTCAAAATCTTTTTTTGATGACGAAGATAACATTTTAACAAGAAAGGTTTTATGGAAACACTCGACAAATTATATAGGATTTCGCTATAGATATGAGACCTGTGGAACATAGATCTCCTGAGTAGGAACTATTCCTAAACCCCCTACTGAATATTTTGAGTCCCATACTACATTTAATCAAATTAGATAATAATTTTATTATTAAAAATTATAATATAAAATCTTATATAAAAGATATTGTGATAAATCAGTTAGAATGCCTTATATATTAAAGTGTTAGTAGATAGTATATAAATTCAGATAAGGTTTGTATCTGTTTTCATGTCTGCTATTATCGAGAGCGATTACTTTGTGTTTAAAAATATTTATTTTGATTTAATAATGAGCGGTTATTTAAACCCCTTAAAATCAAAAATACTAAATCCAATAATCATAAAAATTGATCCCTATGACGAAAATTACTGAAATATTAATGATTAATGGTGAAACAATGTGATATCACGTATAGTTCTAAAAAAAGTCAGGCTAACAGTTCTCAGCAAAAAAGGTAGAAAAAGTTCTACCACCCAAAAGAGATTTGAAATTTATAAAAAAAAAAATTTATTGATGGAAAACAAAATAGACATTCACGTACTAGTCATATATGCTTAGAAATTTTATTATTAATTGCAATAAAAAGATTCATTCGATAGGTTTTTCAATTTATAATTTAATATCTTAAAATCTATATCAAATTTTGACATTTTTAAGGAAAAGAGCATTTGTTGACATGCCAACAAAGCAAAAATGACTCAAATTGGCGAAAAAACATAAATGCTGGGGATGAATCCATATGAATACAGAAAATTTGTTGACATAATTATGGTTCCTTTTTGGGAATTAAAAAATTGAATTTTTAATTATATAATTTTTTAATTTATTATAAATTCTATTAAAAGCATAAATTAGAATGAAACAAACTGAGGGCACAGTTTCCGACATGATGGGCAAATGTACTATTAATTGAGATTCTAGAATCAAAAGTTGAAAAGATCAAGAATTCAATCAATCGAGATTTTCGATCTTACAATATATTGCGCATGTTAAATCTGTTTATGATGTAAAGAGTCTCGAACATTAATGGGCTTCAATTTGATTTTAATTCTAATTTTTTAATGTATCATATTAAGATTTAAAACTAATATTTTTGAATAGCTTATTATACCATATAAATTATATTATGAATATTGAATAAATTAAAGAATTTTAATGTGATAAATTTTGCTTTAAAAAATAATTTGCGTAATTTTTTTCAGCTGGGGTTGTGACTTAGGGTAGTATATAATATTGCAGCCCTTCGCCCATATTAATATACTAACGCCACTAGTTCACATCGAGTCCTATCCGTTACTAACAAAATAAACAAATAATTAAAAAATATATAAATTATAAAATATTAAAAAAAATTCCGTGATTATTCACTTCCGCTTTTATTATGACCTAATCTTAGAAAACCCAAAAATAAATTTAAAATTAGGGTCAGTGTTTAAAAAAATTCTAAATGTCTTATCATTATTAGAAAATCAAACAAATAAAATTATTTTCTGATGGACATTTATTTCTCTTGAATTTCTACTATTTCATTTAATTTTATTTTTAACCCGAATATAGTATTATCATAATAACATTCATTGATAAATCAATTGTTAAAAATAAAAATTCATTTAACTTACTTGAAGAGATATGTCCGGTTTCGGTGCCAATTCTAATAACTTTTTAGCAAAGCTACATGCTGATTTATAATTTTTTAGTTTGTAAAATTGATTTAGTGCAGTTCTTAGCGTCAATATTAAATGAATCGGTTGAAGACCACAATGTGTAAAATAAGCGGCGAGCTTTTAATAATTAATTTCAAAATTTTAAATCAAAAATAATATACTTCAGCGTTCCTTTTTTGATTATCTACAGATTCTTTGGATAAACCTTTTCTATATTGTTCCATCTTTAAGCCAATTATATATTCCTTGCAAGTAGATACCAATTCTTTGATCTAGAATTAGTGAATGCCATCATTTGATAAAAAATCTTAACTAACTTCATTAATTTCTTGCTTTTTTTCAACTACCAAAAGTGGAACATAGGTTAAAATAGTTTTAAAATAGTCAATAGATTCATTAAATTTTCCTGCAGTTGTTAATTGGTAAGCTATTTGAAGTAGTTTAATCAGTGAAGATAATTTGAAGCTTAAAATCGGGAAACTTCCCTTTAACCCAGGATCGTGTCTAGAGTATTTAACATATAAAATGCTTAATTGATAAATAAAAATATTTTATGTGATGCATATAATTTAAATTTTATTTAACAATATAATCTTAAAATTCATTTTCATTATATATAACATTCTGATAGAAAATATTAACTATCGAAAAGTTTCTCATACCTCTCGAGGATTAATTTAAGACTTAAATGCAAATCCATATATATATATATATATTTATAAATATAAGTAAAACTCACGTTATACGTTGGGGATAAGACGGGAATGGAGGAATAATAGACAAATTAGGAATCAGGTTTTTATTTCGGCTAAAGGTTTGAAGAAATAGTTGTTTAAATGGCTCAAAATTTACGGCACCAATTTGTGAATTTAATAACTAAAAAAAATATATTATTATAAGATTCATTCATTTTTGAGAATTCTATTTATTGAACCCGAAATAAATTAATTGAATAATAAATACATGAAATATTATCCTAAAATAATTATAAACATGAATAAGAATATCGAATAAATAATTCATACACTAAAAGCAGTTTCGAATGAGCCAGCCAATATATGATCGATGACAAATTCTGAAGATGCAGTCCATATTTGTGGTTGAGATATTCCTTGGGTAGGAAACATATTTGTTTCACCAATCAAACTATTCCTCTCGATCCCCTATACAAAAAATGAAAAAATATATACTATAAATGAAAGTACTGGATCGATAGTAGGGATGTCAATATCATCATCACCTACATCCCAGTCACCTTCGCCTCGCTCGTCTTCTGTGTTCCTCTTGTCATTTATCGCGCCATCATAATCGTCATCGTGATTAAGTATATCTTCCTCAACCCAAGCATCGCCTATGTTTTCACTGTTCGTTGTATTCACTAAAATCATCGAAGAAGTAACTTTTGAAGGCAAAGTTTCTAAAAATAATTATTTAACTATATGTAAAAATCAGCCGAACTTTTTACAAATAACATAGTTTCAAATACGCCTTTGGAATAGGTTAATAAGGGCCAATTTTCTTCATTTTTCATAAAAGCAACACATGGTTCTATATGGCTATGTTGTGAGGGGATGATTGGAATCTAATAAAAATCAGATAATATTTATTTTATTAAGAGAACATAATATATAATTTATACCTTTATTGATAAACTTTCCAATTTGTCTTTAAGTTCTTTAGATTCCTCAGTAATTCCATGAGTTATTGCTGATATGTAAGCCAATGTATATTGACCTTTAGATTTTAAAATTTTTATTTGTTCCAAAATATCATTCAAAAACATAGCTGTGCGAAATTGGTTGCAGGTTTCTTTTCTTATTTCAGCTTAATAAATTGAATCGATGTTATGTGTTAATCAATCAAAATATACTTAGTTTTAAACAAGGCAACAAATATGATCCCCATCATTAATTTTATAGGGAAAAATAATTTTAATTTACAAATATAATTTAAAACAAATTTTTGTAATTATACATTAAAATATATATGTTGCCATCAAGATGTATAAACAAATTCTGGGGTTTTCTGTGTGGTAAGTTTTATGATTTGTAATTCTTTAGTTTTTTATTTCCCTTTTTATTTAACCCAAGTTCGAAACACTATAATAAGATTTATTGGTTTAGTAAAAAAATAAAATCATGTTAATAATTTGAAAAAAATAATTTAATAATGATTTTACCTTTTATTATGTTTTTTTAATCAGGCACATTTTGACAAATAAATATAAATTTATTAATAATCTTCTCCAAAATATAAAATATATTTTTTTCATGATAATGATGACTTGATAAATTAACAAAAAAGATGACAAATACGCAAAATTAACTTCTCATTAACCCTTCAATACTCCGGTGGGGTATATGAGACCCCAGGCTTGCTAGAATTTTATATAAAAATGGTTTATTAATATGATCTGGAATTTTCAGTAGCTTGATCAAATATATCTTAGAATCTATATTCCAAATTTTATATATTTTGTCTAAATAGTTTTTAAGATATAAAGATTTTGCGACTGATTGGGGTTTGTGAGATCCACCAGAGTAAATACGTAATTTTTTTTATTTATCTCATTTTTCAAATTATTTTTATCATTTATTATGATTTTCACATATTCTGAAAGTAAATATAATAAAATTATTTAAAATGTAATATCATTTTTCATATATTTGAGTTGGATATGAAAAAATAACATTATTATCATATCCAAAGAAAGGGATGTCATAATGCTATCAATTAATATAAATGTTGATACAAATGATACAAGCAAGCCTGAAATTATAACATTTTATAATATGACTAAAGGTAGGTTAGATATGGTGTATTGAATGACAAAAAATGATATAATTTTAAGTCTTACACACTTCTTAACATAATATCAATTAATTTATATCATATAGCAAACACAAAAATATCCACTACAGGAAGTAATTTCATATGTAAAATATCAATTGAACTTATTAAGCCATATTTAGAAGTACAACAAAATTTATCAGATTGTCCTGACTTTTGAAGGAATCTATATGCAATATATTAGGCAAAGTTCAAAATATAAATCTTATCCACTCAAGAAAGGTGCAGTATGTGTCCTAGCAGTAAAAATGAGAAAATGAAATATTTTTGTCACATATGGGGGAAAAAATTATGTGGAGCTAATACTTTATGTGATAAGTCAAAATTAACATATTTCAATGTCCTATATTTTTTTTATGTTTGCATGTATAAGTGTAAATCATATTTTATATTGAAGAATAAATATCAAAATATTAAATTATAATGATGATATGATAGATAAATTACACTGTGTGACAAATTTCGACTTGATTTTTTTGGGAGAAAATAAAATAAACATGTTTTAAGACAGTTTTTTAGGCATATTCTAAATCCGCTGTCAGTTTTTTTCTAGCACGTCAGGTTTTTTATTTATTTTAGGTTAAAGTGGCCAAAAAGGTCATTTTTAGCACTTTTTGAAGGTTTATAACTTCGGTTCTAATGATCCCTACAACTAAAAAAACATCTTAATTTTTGCAGCAAACCTTCCTTATTATTATTATACATTTTTTTATAAAATCCTACTCAATTTTTAAACAACCTATATTTTTTAAATTTACCCTTATTTATAAAATCTTTTTTAATATAGCTTACATTTAATATATTTATTTATCATTTTACCGGATAAACAACCTACGAAATTTCAGGATAACGAATTTTCTTCTTATTTTTTTTGTTAAACCCAAATGTACTAATCGAGCAAAAATAACAATCCCGCGAATTATTTCTTGCTACGTGCCAAAATGCAGGTTTCGAATAAGGCAAATATGACCATTTTCCATTTACCCACGAATTAAAAGAATTATAACATGTTTTACATATGTAATTAGGGGCAAATGGTTTATCCAAATCGCAGAGTGGAATATTGTAATAAATTTCATAAATCCTTTGAATGATTGGAAAAATTGGACATTTTTGTGGGGGCAATATATAGCCCACACAGATGTAACAAAATTTAGAGACACACTTTAAACAAGGGGACCTCGGCATTAATTTTTTGTAGAATATTATATAAGGAGGGAATTTGAATAATATTTAAAATTCAATTTAAAAAAAAAAATTAATGAATTAAATGTTTATGAAAAATTAAGCGCGAAAAAAATAATTCTTCTCCTTTCTTCCTACTCGTTATTTGACATTATTATTTATTGCCCATAATATTACGGGTTCAAGGTACTCCATTGGAAAATCATATATTTTGATATAAATTGATTAAAAAAACAAATATTCTTAAAGACATCTAAAAAAGATAAATATTAATAAAAAATATGAAAAAATTACCAATTATTGCATTTTAAATGAATTTTGCTTCAAAAATGCTTAATTCAAAAAGAGTACAAATTAAAAAAGTGGGTACAGATATCTGATTTTGGAATAAATTGATCATAAATGCATAAAATATTACTAAATACAACTAAAAAAGATAAATATTACCTTAATTTTACTTTAAAAATGGTTTATGCAGAGAAAATTCAATAAAAGTGTACAAATTAAAAAGTTCGAAAATATCTGTAACGACTTTTTTAATTTATAGATTTTGGTTGAATTTTCATGGCATAGAATACTTTTGACACATAATTAGAATTAATATATAATCTTGAGCATATTTGAAGCAAAATTATATAAAATTTATCTCATAAAGTTAATAATTTTGATAGTAATTTAAATTGAAAACTTAAGACCCCTAAAACGAAATTCTTTACCATTTTTCTCAAAAACCAATCGATAAAAAATTATAAAAATTAGTAAATTTATATAGAAATATAAGTTTAACACTATCACCAATTTTCAGGGATTTTTATTCGATACTTTTTAAAATTTATCCGTATAAAGACCTAAATTTTACCATTTTTGAGATTTCGAAAAGTTGTCTTTATAAGGTAATATTTTTAAAACTTGACGTGTAGGGAAAATTTGAAAAACGGATTCGAACTCAGCGTCAAATTCTGCACCAAAACTTGTTTTTATTTTCTTCTCCCATTTTTCTTGTCACACAGTGTTATTTTTTCAATTTAATATTTAAAATTTAATAAAAGTAAAACCTTTTTTTGAAAATGTTGGCACAAATTATAATTATCCTCATTATTTTTAATCTAAGCATAATAAATTAAAATAAATAAATAACTTATCAAGTTTAGGGTTTGTTCTATCTTATATCCAAATATTAAATACAAAAGGAGATATAAACATTTGAAATTGGGGTTTATTAAACCCCACTAAAGTACTAACATCATTTTTTCCACCGGAGTATTGAAGGGTTAATAAAAAAAATCAACAATAAATGAGCAAAAATAATTTCTCCCCAATAGATATTTATATAACAATAAGTATCATCATATAGCCTGCCTAATCTCTGTAACATCTTAAGTGAGGCTGTAATAAAATGGAGAGATTATAGGATCATACATGGCCAGTCGATGGAAAAAAACGTGATTTTTTGACAACCATATTTGGAAACAAATGAAACTTCTTTTGTTGGTTATATGGGTTTAAATTCTATAATAAATTTAGAGTTCTAATTTAACTTAAATCTGAAGTTATGGGTTTTAAAAGTCCAGATCAGTCGTGATTAGTGGAGTCACTCGCCTTGTTTTATGGATCTTACATTAGAAATGATTGGCAGACCAGTCGTATCTGTCTTAGACCAAAGCCGATTGACGAACCGGCCATATCCATCTTAAACCGGACCGATCTTTTCCAAGGACCGTGTTCAGGATAGATCTTTTAATTTTTTCCTATCCGGATTGGTCTAATATATAAGTTTGCCTAATGATTCAATTCATATAATTTTCAAAGTTATTTTATTATATATTACTTTTCTAGAGGAGTTACTTTAGTTTTTGTGATTCTTATTCTTTTTTACTTCTTTTCTATTTTGCAATATACTATGAAAACAAAATCAAAAAAGCATTTTACTCATAGTCCCATTTCAGTATATTAGACAAATATCGAGACCTGTAAAGGTACCATTTGCACGGCATGGCCAGGAATTTTTTTAAAATATGTTTATATTTAATTTTTATAGTTAATAATGGCGATTTTAAATATTTGGTTTTAAAATATATGGGCTGGCCCGGGTATTTTTAAAAAAATTTTTAGGACCCATTGCAGTTCTGTTAACAGACTTAGCATTATTTAAATACAAGACGAGTTAGACCGTGGTCCTGGACCTATCTTTTGTTTGAGGGTCGTGATTCCGGTCCTGAAGGCCAAGAACAGAATGTGACCTTCACTCAAAATCTTAATTTATATCAGAGACCTGCAGGCCCGGCCCTAAACCCGGCCCGGATTTTAAATTTTTTAAATATACCCAGGCCGGGCCGGGCCTAAAAAATTTTTTTTAAACATATCCGGGCCGGGCCTAGAAATTTTTTTTAAAATATATCCGCGCCGGGCCTAAGATTGTTAAACCCGGGCCGTGCCGGGCCTTAATATTTTTTATAAAAATTTTTACATTATGAGTTAATGAAGATTATATTATATTATAGTTATGATTAATATAATATTGGGTGATGGTTAACACTACCTAACAACCCGCAGATCGATCTAATTATTAATTTCCTGCAAATTTATTCAAAGTATTAATATATTTTTTTATAATTCATATCTAAATTTTTACAACATATTTTACCAAAACAATCAAAAAAGGAATATCTTAAATAAGCCCCAATATTCAAGTATTATTAATATATTTTTTTATAATTCATATCTAAATTTTTAGAATATATTTTACCAAAACAATCAAATAAAGGAATATCACTTCTTAAAGTTTGTAATACCTTTCAAAGCGAAAAAGGAGAAATAAAATTGATTTTACTTAATATAAAGAATTTTTTAATCGAAAAATTTGTTTTACACAAGTATCATTTTATTTCTCTTTTTCTCTGTCCCAAATTCAAGCAATTACGTATGTTGTCAGGGACAGATCGCAAGATGACGGAAAACTATATAAAAGATTATATTAAATTACAAGAGGCTCAGGAAGTAAATGAAATACCATCGACCAGTCAAATTACGACTGTTGTTAAACAAACTGAATCGTTTTATGACAAATGGGGCGATGGTAATTCTGGTAATATGTCAATACCCGATGATGAATATTATAATTACATAAATAAAAAAATAGATGAAACATTTAAAGTGGATAATTTGTTAGAGTGGTGGGCGGCTCATCAAAGCGAATTTCCAATTTTAGCAAAATTGGCAAAACGGGTATTGGCAATTCCTGCTTCAAGTGCAAGCTGTGAGCGGAATTTTTCCACTACTGGGAGAATTATTGAAGAAAGAAGAAGTAATCTTCAACCTGAAAAGGTAGATATGCTTCTCTTTCTTCTTGTGAATTTTTAATATCTTTATTGAGTATAGGGTTTCGTCAATCATGCTGGTTTTTTACTTTGCAAACTGTCAAATATTTATTGCATTTATTATATTTACCTTGAGTCATGAAAGTTTTTAATACAACATTTTTCATTATTTTTTTTTACAATTATCTTCTTTTGTTAAAAATTTATATTATAAAATTATATTAATATTGTGCAATTAGATTATATTTCCAAAATACTATTTATTATACATGCATTTTTTTAAATAGCAATTTATTTTTATTTTATAAATTAAATAGTAAATTAAATACAATATATTATATTCTCAAAATATTTTCCATTTTTATAAATTAAATATTAGTTTTATTTTTTTTAAATGCAATATAAAATATAGTATATGCTCAAAATATTATTACCATTTTTATGAATATTAGTTTTATTTATATAAATGCAATATAAAATATAGTATATGCTCAAAATATCCATTTTTATAAATAACAGTTTTATAATTTTTATAAATTCAATATAATATATTCAAAATATTGGCTTTTTACATGTATTTTTTAAATAATAAGCGATAATTACTCGCTGAAAAATATGGTAAAATACCTCATAGGTGAATTTTTGTATATACCAGGTCGAATATAATTTTAAAAAATATCCGGGCCGGGCCGGGCCTAAAAAATTTAAAACCGGGCCGGGCCGTGCAAATGGTACCTCTGCAGGTCTCTGATTTATATCAAAGTAATCCAAAAATATGACTCAAAAAGTTACAAATAAGACATCATTTTGTAGCCCCAAAAATTTCCTTCGGAAAATACAATTTGGAAAAATATATTCATTGTTTAAATATTTCTGCTAAAACGATTTTTTTTACTTTGAGCATTCTACACATTTTTATGCCAAAACTCACTAAGTCTTGTATAATAACTTAATTAGTGTTGTCAACAGGCGTGATTTAGCTGATTTTTAAAACGAATAAATCAAAAAATATTGCCACACCCTAGACCTGTGTGCTGCGCTGCAAATACTTTTTAGAAATTTCACGACGCTGTCAATTTTTTTAATCGACGTCTGGGTGGTTATATAATTTTATATCGAACCCAAAATCTGTATAAAAATATATTAAATAAAAACTTATACTAGTATCAATATCATTTACATTTCTTACAATGTTAGATATAATGTGATCTCTTATATATATTTATATATGTCCTATATATATATCGAATTATTCATTCATTTGTTTTATTTACTTTACATCCATCTATTAGACGTTCCAAAATGAATTATCTGCATTATAAGTTAGATTGCTATAAAATTAATATCATAGATAGCAATTAACTAAGTATGGTAGGAAGTTTTTCAGCCAGTTCATACTTTCAAATAATAATAAGATTTCTATGTGTGTCGTAGATTTTCGTAAGAAAATTTTTACGGGCTTCGGCCAGGTTAGAAAATTTATAGACTAAAAATTCTAATTACCGAATTATTTTTCAAATATATTTGAAAAAATAGTAAAAAATTAAAATGCTATTTTCTTCATGAATCCGAACAAAACAATAATTTAAAAATGTGGCCCTGTTACTGATTCTTTAAAAAAAGATTTTATTCCTCATTGTATTTACATATTTTTTGTTTTTATCTTATTTATTTATGAAATAAAAAAATTAATTTTCTAATTTATATTTACTAGGTTTAATAAAAATATCTATTAGATTATCATGTTTAAATTAAATAAATTATAAAAATATAAATTAAAAAGATTTTTCTCTAAGATTAATATATATGGTTTATGATTTAATTTTTTAAATTTATAAATACCGGAACAAACTGAAAAAAACCGTTATAAATAATAAACCGAAATGGAACAAAACCTTTATAAAATTTTAAACTAAAAACCGAAACGAACCGAACCGCTATACTTAACGGTTCGAAACCCTGTGTTTTATTACTAATTATTTAATTCAATCCCGTATCTACTTAATTTTAATAAATAAACAGTAATATATTCATTCTTTAACTCACCTATTTTCATCATTTTCTTAACTTTTTCAACGTTGCCTGATATCAAGTAAAAAAAGGATAATTTTTCAAAACTTTTTGCACGTTGATAACACATTTCAACTATTTTTTGATCACCTTGAACTAAGGCAAGCTCTCCCAATTTTTTCCAATAAAAATTACTATCTAGTGCACGTGCCGATTCTAATGCAATCTGTATTAAATATAAAATATCTTCTAAATTAAAAAATAAATACCTCTAAATTTCCACATTCTAAAGCTAAGCCAAATCTAGTTTTTTCATCTTTAACAAAATATAAAGCTACTTCAGGATACCCTTTTTGACGTAGATAAGATATTATGGATTGTCCTATTAATTTAGAATTTTGAACCATATATAAAACCTAAACAGAACATTAACATCTAAATTATGCATAGTAAGTAACCTCTTCATATTGACGGTTAATTAAAGCAAGTTTAAATTTAAATTCAGTTGGATCTATGGTCAAAACCAATGGCTTACAACCACGATCCAAACAATATATATTATTATTGATTACTTTGGTAATATATATTTGAGTATCCAAAGTTCTAATTATGCCATAATCTCTTTTTAAATATGTTATAAGTATTTTTCAAATAAAACTACCCATTAGGTAATACATATTTGATATGATTGCTAGTATTGTATATTAAAACGCCATTTTCGTTAAATGCGCCGCTTTTAATTCTTACGTTTTCATGTATAGAGCTTAAAATATCCAGTCTGCGAGAACATATGGTCAGCACTAATAAATAAAAATTTTATTTATCAAAATAAAATAGAGGAGTAGAGTAATGTTTATTAAAATATTTTGTAAAAATTAATATTCTATAATAAATTTAAAAAATCGTTTTAGATTTTTTTTAGTGAATAGAATATAAGATACTTTTCAAATAAAATATATCGTCTAAAAACGGAATTCGATACAAATAACTAGTTAATATATGGGCATCTAGATAATTCAATTGTATCTGCACTACAATTAGTATATACAATTTTAGTCAAATATATTTTTATATAACTATATAAGGTGTGTATAATGCGTAATTTAGGACTTTATTGCGAAAATTCAAATTTTGAACCAAGCTAAAAAAAATTCTTGAATTTGTTAAATTTTAATTATACTAAATATAGAATTAAATGATAAATAACAATGTTATTACATTATCATCATCATCACCTGATTCTAAATTAACACATCCAAAATTAATAATTTATTTTAGATTATTTCACAGGCTTATTAAATTAAATATTATATGTTAGCATCAAAGTGTTTTTTCTGGTATTATTTTTTAACATTAGATCATTTTTTTCGACCAAATTTTTTTTAATTCAAAATTTTGATTTTACCTGAAATGTATTCCATCATGTTTGAAATACTCACCCTATGAATATCAGACAATTTTGTCATGATCCTCTGAACTTAATATAATATATCCTTATATTTTTAATAACCCAAAGGTCAACAGCAAAATCGACCACAATTTAAAAGATAGGTTTACAACACATGTTGGAATACATTTCAGGTAAAATCAGATTTTTATATTTAAATAATGATTGAAGTTGAAAAAATAACACTGCCAGAAATGACGCTAACATATACATAGATATAAAATAGTTAATATCTTTTAAAATTAATTTATCTTTAGTGTTTATTTGAAATTATAATCTAAGAGCTATATTTTTAAGTTTTTATCAGGGTTATATATTTTAATTGTTGAACACAATTAAAGTAATATAAATTCATATATCTTATAAATAATTAAATTTTATATGATATAGAAAATTTTTACATATTAAAAATTAATAAGAAATTTTTTTTTTAATTCCCTATATTATATTGTTTATATGAATAAAATAAAACTATTAATATTAAAATGGCTAATATCTTATATAAAGAAATATAAGGCATTTATTTATATTAAATTATTAAATGAAATTTAAAAAAAAATTATTCATAAAGTTTTGAACGAATGTGAAAGCATTCCTTTATTTGAAGGTGGTCTTTAAGGGTGTTCGATTTTTGACACTGAACGTTACGCGTTAGATTTTTTTAAAAATGTTTAAAGCACTATTATTTATTAATGTTTTTGATAATCCATATGCCTAACCTTATTCCCTCTAAAAGCATAGATACTTTTTAAAAAGTGTATCTAGATTCAGTTACACATTTTTGTATATAGATACTTTTAACTCTGGAAATAACCGTTAAAAAAATAACTGAGCTATATTTTGTTATAAAATTTTTGTTAAATTAATATAAATATGACTTAACGTTTTATAGCTTTATGCAATGCTATTTAACTTTATACAACATACTATTCTTATATACTAGAAACAAAAAATTTTAAAATAAGAATAAAATTTGGCATGATAATTGCAATTTTAATTTATATAGCGTAAAATTGTATAAATTCGAGCCCTACACCTTCTATTTTTCAGATATGCCCAGATTCGAGAAAAAATTTGTCCCACCAATCAAATTCTAACATTTTTTTAAAAGATCCGTATCCAAATATTAGAAATAAGTCTAGGTCAGATCCGATTCAAAATTATTTTTATTGAACTGTTTAAAAAGTGTTATTAAAAAATAAATGCAAAATTATAAGTGCTTAAGAAGAACAAACACTGAAAACATTAGGAATAATTAAATGAGATCCTAGTCCAAATAAATTTTTAAATCAAGGTTGAAATCTGACCAAATCCGAGTATCTGTTCAAGTCTTATTATCAGTCCGTGTGGACTATAATATCAAAAATCATATATATTCTTTTTACTATGTTTGCTAAATAATGCCAATAAAGAGTAATCATTTGACCATACAATATATTTCACTTTTGTTATTCTTGCGGATGCTAAATACCTATATATATTCAAATAAAAATAAAAAAGTTCCTAAAATTATTAAGTTAAGTAATTGAAAACAAAATTTAAGCGATAAAATGAATAAATAATTAAAAGAACAAAATAACCGTTTTTGCTGGACATCATACAAAGTAATAGAATCAGGTTCTTTTAATAATATACAGCCAGTACTGGCATAAAAAATATCATCACAACTAGATGGCACTTGAATCTTCTTCACAACTTCATTTTTTAAATTTTTTATCAATATCTAAATGCAAAATACAAAAAGGATCATGAAAATGACTTTACCAGAATATTACATAAATAAAATTTTAATAATATGTAACTCAAAATAATTTTTTGCAGATGTGTTAAGTAAATATATTTTTATTAAAAATAGCAGATCTTTTGTGGGATAAAAAAATATAATAATAATATAATATACAAAAACAGTGTCTAATATTGAATGAAAATAAGTTATAATCACGATATAGCAAGAATAATAGATAGTACAGTGTGTGATTTATCAAGCACAGCAAAACGATTTCTAGCGACCCAGACAGCAGATATTCCAGTAGATCTTTTGCCTTCACATAAGCTTGAATTTTCATCAGAAAGAAACGAAGGTCCTAATATGTAAACATCGTAAATACTATTCTCAGCCGCTCTACGCCCTATCAAAAATGCGTTCTCAGTTTGGTTATAACTCATTGAATATATCTATAGGGGAAAAAAATAATACAATTAAATGTAAATAAAAAGATTTAAAAAACTTTGGAAAGAGAGTGAGTTGACGTTGATGAAGATGTCAAAGGTGAGACAGAAGAAGAAGGGGCACTTCTTATTTGAAAAAGTGGTATATCCTTGGACGTCATAAAATCAAGGGCTCTTACAAATTTATTGTCTTTAACATAAAACAATGTTGTATTGGACAGTGTTACGTAAGCTGGTCTTTCTCTCTCCAACTTAAATATCATCATTCCACCATCATGTCCTTATCATTTTTTTTGTATATTTAAAATTTTATAAAACATAATCATAATATTAATATAAATTTTAAAATTTGTTAATAAAAAAATTAGTTTTTTTTCCAATTTATAGATTTTTTTGCAATATAAAAATGTATAATTTATACATGATATATAAGTTGTTTTTGTAATAGTAAGATAAATATGGAAGAGAGTTGATCAAAATTTACTAGAATAATATTTAATTTTTTGGGGGAATCAGAACTGTAAACCATATTAACCATTATATTCCTGAACCGGCAAAAATTTTGTAACCCGAATCTAAAACTTTAAAAAGGTATGTGAACCAGTTTGAACCTTGATATTTAAATTGTTTTAAGGATTATCAATCAACTTTGATTAGTCATTATAAGTAGATATCTGCAAATCACGGCCTTTATTTTTAAAAAATAATTCCGGTTCTAGCTGGGTAAGGCCTAATATTTTGAAAAAAATTCGGGCGGGTCTGGGAAATTAGGCCCAATGCATATCACTAATTATAAGTCACGGTTTAGACATTTATGAATTTAGCTAATGAATAGTGCCAACTTACCAAGTTGCATATAAAAGTACTTTCCACCTAGTGTTGTTAATTGGTTGGTTGCGTAAAATAGAAATCTGCAAAGTTAGGCCCGGCCCGTACCCGGCCCGAATGGGCTTCGGGCCCAATTCTATTTTAAATAATCGGGTTCGGGCCGGGCCTAATATTTTTAAAAAAAATTCGGGCCGGGTCGGACCTTGGAAAATTTTTTAAATATATCTAAATTTATCAATTTTATATTGAATTTTTTAAGTAAAATAAAAATTTTTGAATTTATTTATTGAAACTAAACGCCATATAACATATGTCTTTTATTTTCAGTAATTATAAAAATTAATTTCTATATTTAAATAATTTCGGGCTAGGCCGGTAAATTTTTTTAAAAAAAATTTCGGGTTCGGGCTAGGCCGTAAAAACTTTTTTAAAAAAATTTCGGGCCGGGCTTGAAAAATTAGGCCCGATGCAAATCACTCTGTAAAACCCAGACCCGGGGTTTGGGTCTAAAAAATACACCAAACCAGCTCTGTACACGAAACCCAAGCACAGACCCGGGGTTTATACCCTGGTTGTTGTGTTGTGACGATTTAATAAACATGTTGATAATTAAAATATATTTTTATTGTAATAGTAATAATCACTCATAGAGGGCGGGTCTAGGTCTTGGGTGGTCAGGAATATTTTTATCAACACAAAATATCGATATGGGTAACAAATAAAATCTAATTTAAATATCTTTAGATTGAAAGTATTCATTTTTTGTCTTGATGAGTATGACTTGGTCTGGGGGTGGATGGAGGGGGGGTGTAAAAAATATTTTTTTGATATGGGTATCAAGTAAAAGGTAATTAAAATATTTTTTTATTGTAATAATAATCACTCATAGAGGGCGGGTCTAGGTCTTGGGTGGTCAGGAATATTTTTATCTACACAAAATATCGATATAGGTATCAAATACTATTTTAAATATCTTTATTTGTGTTGATGAGTATGACTTGGTGTTGGGGTGGGTGAAGGGGGGGGGGGGGTTGATGTAAAAAATAATTTTATTTTATATTGGTATCAAATAAAATTATATTGGTATCAAATAAAAGGTAATTAAAATATTTTTTTATTGTAAAAATAATAATCACTCATAGAAGGCGGGAATAGGTTTTGGAGGGTCAGGAATATTTTTATCAACATAAAATATCGATATGGGTATCAAATAAAATCTAATTTAAATATCTTTTGAAAGTATTCATTTTTGTCTTGATGGGTATGACTTGGTCTGGGAGGTGGATGAAGTGGGGGGGGGGGGGGGGTGTAAAAAATAATTTTTTTTGATATGGGTATCAAATAAAAGGTAATTAAAATATTTTTTTTATTGTAATAATAATCACTCATAAAAGGCGCGTCTAGGTCTTGGGGGGTCAGGAATTTAAGAAATAAAAATATTTAAATATTATATCAAGCTTAATAGATCTATTTTATATCCAAATATCAAATGAAAATAATGAATATAACTGGAGATATATACATTTGAAATTGGGGTCAATTAAACCCCACCCGAGTACTAACGTCATTTTTTTCACCGAAGTATTGAAGGGTTAAATTGATGCCTACCTTTTTTTAAAGATTTAATTTATATCGAATCCTTATTTTTTTAGAATATATTTATATTAAAAAATAATCTAAGCATTAAACTAGTTGAAATTAATTTTTAGGGAAAATTTTAATAAAAATGTTTTTAGAATATTAAATACGATTTAAAATTTGATTTATATCCAATCTCCAAGATATCGTACGAGAAAAAATTTTAACAATTTAAATTAAGAAAATTTATGTTATCTCCACATCTAAATAAATTAATGAAATACTGAAAAATTATATTTGCATTATATATTTAGATTCGTCCATTATTTTCATTGAATTCATTAAAATAAAAACTAATTTCTAACTCTTACTGTTTTAAAAATAGGCGAGCCAATTTTTAAAAATCGCACTCCTGAAAAATTGAAAAACAAGTAGATATAAGAATGCAATTCATGACTGAAGAAACAGTAAGATTATAAGATTGCTATAAAAAAATAAAACATTTTAATTTAATTTATATACAGGTAATTATTAGAAAAGGGGAAATGTAGTAAGTAAAAGATTACCTGCGGCAAATAAATCGAGTAATGGATGAGAAGATAGGGTCCAGAAGCGTTCGGAATCTTTTCGGAAGGATTGGAGAACGGTTCGTTTGGTCATGTCCCAAACTCGAAGACTTTTGTCCTCACTGTCGGAGAGTATTAAATCTTTACGAGGATGAAAGGTCACACAAGACACGTTGTTGTAATGTCCACGACAAGTATCCACTTCCCAAGCTTTGCTATCGTTCATCCTCCACAATTTCACCTGCCTGTCATCCGCACCAGACACCAACAGGGGTAAGGTTGGGTGGAATGAGACCCAGTTAACGCCTCGGTCATGACCCTTTGTAAAAATAGCATGTTTGTATTTTATTTTAGTATCTATTCTTACTTCTAGAACATGTTTAACGACAACTTCCCCCGTACTAAATAATTCGGTTGAATTAGGTCCACGCAATTGATTCATAAGACCCTCGGGACCTGGCATGGCATTTTTTTTTCTCAACCCTTTTAATTAATATTTAGGCATGATTATTTAATTAAATTTATCAACCTGATATATCCCAAACGCGAACTGTCTGATCTAGTGAGGCTGAGGCAATTAAATCTTCTGTTGGGTGAAATTGTGCACACATTACATAGTGATTATGTCCGGTAAGAATACTTGAATAAATATAAAATATACATTGTTTAGTTAATTATTATATTGTGTTCTTGACCTATATGAAATAAATGTATGGCCTGATCTGGAGGAATATTTATATTTTGGATCAGGCTTTAAAAACCGAAGATGGGTTCTAATAGATATATCAGAAATTCATACTTAAATATATCGACAATATTAACTTTAAGTTGTAACAGTTAAATTTTTATTTGTCATGAATCAAATATAGCATTTTGAGTGTTTAATTTAATAATAAAATTTAATGTTGATATGTCACTAAAAAATTTATTTTCCAAACCTGATACAATTACGTGATTGCCAATTCCATATTCTAATAGTTTGATCATCAGAAGCACTCAAAATCCATGGATATTCTTGATGAAAAAATGTGGTTCGAATGTAATCTAAGTGACCAAGTAAAGTGAAGAGGCATTTTTTAAGTTTATAATTCCATATCTAGAAAGAATATGATTATTTATAATAGAAATTTAAGATTTAAATTTTTACTGATCTTAGATATTTATTATCAATTTGAAATACTCTATGAGGGTTCCACGTCTTTATAGAGAAACCATTATAGAGAATGTATTTTATAGAGAAACATTTATAAAGAAAACAATTATAGAGAATGTCTTTATAGAGATTTGTTTTATAAAGAATGTAGTTTATAGAGATTGTTTTATAGAGAATGTTTTATATAGAGAATAATTTTTATAGAGAATTAATTTATAGAGAATGATTTTATAGAGAATGCCGTTTATAGAGAATGGTTTTATAGAATGTCGATTATAGAGAATGATTTTAAAGAGAATTATTTTATAGAGAAGGTCCTTAATAGAGAATGACTTCAAAGAGAATGATTTTATAGAGAATGTTGTTTATAGAGAATGATTTTAAAGAGAATTACTTTTATAGAGAATTATTTTGTAGAGAATCACATTGTAGAGAATTATTTTGTAGAGAATTACATTGTAGAGAATTATTTTCTAGATCTTGATTTTATAGAGAAATATTATATATGGGACAATTATAGAGTTCAAAAAATTTATGCGGGATTTGAAAAATATATCAAAATTAACATTTTAATAATAAAATTCAGTTTATTTGTTGTATTTTTTTGATGACTTTATTTGTTTCAACAATGGTTTTTTTGTAAAATCTTTTTAGTTCATATCAAGGTTTAGTTTGATTATTAACTCAGCTAAACCAAACCGGAAACGATTTATTAAATATGTATTAACCGTTATTAAAGAGAATTAAAACTGAACCAACCATTTTAAAATTTTTATATATTGCATTTATATGTAAGCTACCTAAATTAGCCTATAGAAGGGTTCTTAACTTTACCCTTATGGATATTATATGACGGACGAGAATCTTGATTCTAATTTTAATTAAGAAAAGGTTTTAACCAGTTGTTTGGGTAAAAAATATGTCACATTCCCGTTCGTTCTGCGTTTTAAGAACACGTTTCTAAATATAATTTTCTTTCTATTATACAAATTTTATTCATAAATCTTTTTAATATAGATAACTAAGAATTCATTAATCTCTAATAATACACATTTAGATGTATGCGATGGCTTTAATATATTGAGTGTCGAAAAGTGCCGATCTCTATTTGGGGTTCCACAACCAATATTTTTGATTTAATAGAAGCACAATAATTTTGTCCTACCTAAAAAACCAAAACCGTAAATTGAAGGTTTCTATATAAGATATTATAGCGAATGCATTATCGCGAATGTATTATAGCGAACGCATTACCGCGAATGCATTATAGCGAGTATAATACAGCGAAAATATTATAGCGAATGCATTATCGCGAATGCATTATCGCGAATGCATTATCGCAAATGTATTATCGCGAATTCATTGTCGCGAAGGCATTATCTTAAATGAATTACATCAGTTGCGATATCGGGAATGGAGTTTGATGAAAACTACAATTTTATATTTATCGGCCTTTAGACAGACTTAGTTGAACCTGGAAATTAAGTTAAAGTCGGGCTTGGGTCTATTTTTTTTAAAAATAGGGTTAAGGCCTTTATTTTTTTGACTCAAAAAATATAAAAAAGATTCTAAGCAATAAAATAGATTTCTCTAAAGATTAGGGTAAGGAATTAAATTTTTATATTAATTGATTGTTTAAATATGCGTTTAGTTATATTTTTCAATTAAATTTGGGACAGGACAGGCTCAGGCCTAAATTTTAAAATTATGGCTAGGCTCCTAAAAATAAAGATTTTGGATGGAGCTTTGGCCGAAATAAATAATATTTGCAAGGCACTAAGAAAAAAAGTTTTATTTAAAACATTGAGCCAAACAGATAATTAGACCTCGGATTTATATTAATCTTTGACAAAGCATGCTTTAATTAGTGAGGGATTTAGTATGGACTTGATAAGCATTTTTTGATAATAAATTTGTATAAAGTTCTCTTATTGTTTAATCAAAAAGAAAAGGTCACAGTTTATCACAACAAGACATGAAACAATATTCAGCATCATAGGTAGATTGTCGAATTGAATTGCTATCCATCTCAGTACTTAATTCGTGTAATCTCTGATGATGAAATTGCCATTATTGTGAATCTGGAATTGGGTAAAAAATAGATTATTGATTTCCTTAATTGATTCTTGCTAAGTTCTTACTTCCTGACGAGTTTTTTTTATAATTATGTGATCAAAGACAAAATTGTATAAAAATGGATATAGAAATATAATAAATATAAGTAGAGCTAAAATTGAATGAATTGAACCATATATTAAAAAATAACTAAGCTATTTTTAACACAAATTATAGTATATTTCCATTTCAGTTCAGTTGCTATATTTTATTAATCTGATGAATGTCATAAATTTTATTAGAGTGGCGATAATAGTGATTGGACGTTACTATCATCGCTGAAGATGAGAAAATTTAATGGAATAAAAAATTTATTGTGAGTTGTACTTCAAGGAGTAGATACAAACCCTAAAAAATCGAAAGGTAGAAAATATCTCTTTTTTACATTTTCTATGCCTTTATATTTTTTTAAATGTATATTCTTCAAGACTAAAAGAGGTTTAGAAAAGAAAGATTTAAAATAAAAGTTTTAAAAGCAAGCATTGACGGATATTAAAATTAATTAAACAAGCTGTAGCGAACTTATCATTTATGATTCCACTTTTTACAGTAGAAAGCAAGGCTCTATAAAAAATATATAAGAAAAGTAAGATAACTGTCTCAGAGGAAGCTTAGATAATGAAAATCCTTATGTTATGCTGGAAATAAAAATATTGTTTTAATCATGAAATTTTTTTTATTAAGAAACACCCACCCCTCCTCCCAACAGAAAAGTTTGAATAAATAATTAGCCATAATGATACGAAAAAATTTAAATATTAATGATAATTATATTTGCTTATAACCAGATCCATAGACCGACTACCAATAATAAAAAGACGCTTAACCATTCAAACAATGTTAAACAGGACCTTTTACCACAGGGGAAGGGGTTATAACTCATGATTGGCATTGAAATTAAAATGGGTAGTTTGTATTAGGAATTCCGTTGTTCTAATTTTGATGTGGTATAGGAAATGAGGAGAGTGGGGGAAGAAGGGGGTAGTATTATAATATATGATGAAAAATCTTTTGATAATTAGGTATTTGAAATAACTTCTAAGTGTAAAAGAGTTAGTAAAATATTGTGCAATCTGCCGCAAATATTAAGCTTCGATATTTTCTAAAGAAAGACATTATAATGCGATGGAAATCAGTGTATATCATGATACAAAGCTTCTTATAATCATATGATGAAATACAAGTTTGTCTATGAACCAACCATATTTAAACAAATTGGTATCAATAAATATAATCCCTATATGTAAATAAAAAATTTCTTATAAATATTAAAAGTCTGATCTTCGGAATGTTTAACAAGTGCAAAAAACCTATAAAAAACATTTTAAACTTTTTAATTCATCTTTCTCTACACTGCTCAGGAGTTTAGGCTTGTAATAAGAAATTTCCATTTTACTAAAATCAATTTAAAGAAATAAGTGTATTATTTTAAATTTTGTCAATGTATAAATTTTAGGTAAGGGTTTGAACTATCATTTTGTATTTTGTAAATTCAGATACAATTATTTTCGGACCTATGACGATTTTGACAGAAATTGATCCAACCACCCCCTGGTCTTCCCTGCCTACCCTGTGAATATTAGACAGTACTCTAGTGATCTTTTAACTAAACTAAATTTTGGTAAGGCGATAGTTTGATGGGTATTGTTTTATTTTTTGTTATTATTTGCATTTAAAATCATTAATTGAGTGCGTTTTATTAAATTTAAAAATCTAATTTTGCCAGAAATGCACCTGAATAAGTGTAGAATACCCACACTTAATGTTGCGCAATCGGTTAATTTTAGGCAATTCCAAAACGGTTAGCCAAGTTTTTAGGTTAAAAAATCGGCTAAGCATAATTAGGCTTAGCATAAAAATAGGCGAAAACTAATTATTCAAAAATTAGGCATCGGCTAAGGAGCTCGCTTAATCGCCCGTCATATATCGTTACATAATAAATATATAAAATAATTAATAAAGGCTAGGCTTAGTTTTGCGTAACGTTGACGGGCGATTAGCCTAGCTCCCAGTCCCTACATTTTGTCTAATTAGTTTTAGGCGATTTTTCGGTTAAGCCAAATTATGTTTAGCTGATTTTTAGGCTACTAACACTACTTATAAATTTCAGATTGATGTAAATTAAAATTTCTTCAGAGGTTCAATATAAGATCTTCTGAAATTTATAGGGTGGGTATTCTACACATATTATAATGCATTTTCGGCAAAATCAGATTTAAAATTTAATAAAACGCGCTCAATTTATGATTTAAAATGAAAAAATACAACAAAATAAAATTATTGAATACAAAAAAATTTTGGCGCAATCGTATAAAATTCCCAGGGTAGATTCTTTTCAGAAATGGTAAAATCAGATTTATTAGGGAAATCATAAAAACGCATAAATCAGAGACCTACAGGCCCGACCTTAAACCCGGGCCGTTTTTAATTTTTTTAAATATACCCGGGCCGAGCCTAAAATTTAATTTTTTAAATACACGGGCCGGGTCAAAAAAAGCTTTTTTTTTAAAAAACTCTTTAAAACCAAATATTTTAAATCACCATTATTATCTAGGCAAATTAAAAAAATATAATATATTTTTTAAAAATCGGGACTGGGCCAAGCAGATTAAAATAATGCACAAAGCAACTAAATATTGACAAAATTTTCTAAAACAATTGGCGTTTGGCTGGCTTTGTTGCTAATAGTTTTTTTTTAAAAAAGCTACTCTACTAGTTAAAGCAAAGGACTAATAGAAACTGATAAAGAAGGAAACATTTTTATTCATAAGCAATACAAATCAGGAACGTGAATAATTTTTTTTAAGATTATTTTTTCCCTTTTTTTATTCAAGAGTTCCGAGAATTTATATGAAGGCATCTGGCTTGTTTTTTTGAGAAAATTTATTTCTAAAATAATACTTAATTCATTTTCTATAAAATCATTCTCTATAAAATTCTTCAATATAAAATTATTCTCTATAGAATCCTTCTCTTTAAAAATAATTCTCTCTAAAACAATTCTCTGTAAAATATTCTCTATAAAATAATTCTCTGTAAAACAATTCTCTGTAAAATATTCTCTATAAAATCATTCTCTATAAAATCATTCTCTATAAACGACATTCTACATAAAATCATTCTCTATAAATGAGATTCTCTATAATAGTTTTCTCTTTAAAAGTTTCTCTATAAAATAAATACTCTATAAAATCATTCTCTATAAACGAGATTCTCTACAAAATCATTCTCTATAAATGAGATTCTCTATAAACGACATTCTCTTTAAAGGTTTCTCTATAAAATAAATTCTCTATAAAATCATTCTCTATAAACGATATTCTTTATAAACGACATTCTCTACAATTGTTTTCTCTATAAAAGTTTCTCTATATTTGCATTCTCTATAAAAGATTCTCTGTAAAGACGGGATACCCTCTATGAGATACTAAAAAAATCTAGTGGAATTCATTCCCATGCGATTTTTTGATCTAAATTAAATCATATTTTTATGATTAAAAATTTCATAATTCAATTTTCTTAAAAATTAGATATAAGAAATAAATTTTAAACGTGTTAAGGTGTAGCTATGACCATATATCCTGGTTCATAATCGGGTTTTTAAGCTAAAAAATTTTTTAAATAGAAAAAAAAGAGTTGTACCTATTTATCTAGTGTTGTTAAACGGCTCTCGGGGCACGATTTAGTCGATTTTCAAATAAAATTTTAGCCAAAATAATATTAAGCAAACCTCTATATTTCGTGAAATCTTTCCATCTATAAGCAAAATCTTCAGGTTTGCATAATATTTTTGGATAAAATATTGGGACGTTAAAAAACTGAGGCGCTTAACAACAACTCTCATTACATATAAGATTGGTAATAGACAAAGATAAAGCCATATTTTTTAGATTATGAACCTAGCTTAAATAAAAATTTTGGCATAGATTTTTTAAAATAACTATGAGCCTGGAAAAGCGTAATCTCAAGAAAGGGGTAAACTTTGGTTCCAATGAATAAAGGTCATTTTATCAAGTTTGGATTATCAGCCAGAGGAAGGCTCAAGAGGGAGGGAATATCGGGGTCCTCGGAATTTAATATTTTGGAATAACAGCAGTGTCTAGGTAATCAATCTACTTCTTGGAAGGTGAAAAAGGAAACCGATATGCTAGGCTATCAATATGAGACTTAAAAGTCGATAGGGGGTGGGGGTTATGATGGTAGCCTAATTAAATGCCGAAAACAATCAATTATTTAGGGATGTACCGATATTTCGCCCATTTTTAAATATCGGTTATCGGCCAATACTAAAAAAATTCCGATCCGATCCGATAAAAAATGGCGTTTTTGAAAAAACCCATTTATTTTTATAAAAAATGGCTTTTTTATATAAAACCCATTTATTTTTATAAAAAAATCGAAATCCATTTTTATGTTTATTTTTATAAAAAAATTGATATCCATTTTTATGTTTATTTTTTTAATAATAATTAATTAAACATTTTGCCATATTGTTATTTTTTTTTCTCATTCTGTTTATAAGTGTGCGATAATTTTTAAAATAATCTTTTCTTTTATTTAATATTATTTGGAATATGTTTATAAATAAATTTTTTTTATACATTTCATTAAAATAATCTATTGTTTTATTTCGCATATTACATAAATTTCCGGTATTAAAATTAGTAAAATAATGGCTTCTTATTCGCTTATAGGATTATTTTAAATTGGATTCGCCATGTTCTAATTTTGCTAAATGTAAAGTTACTCTTGTACCGATAAAATTTCCAGAGGTGGTAAATGTCAAAAGTCTTACAACACCACAAACTTGAGGAAGCATCTCGAGAATAATCATAAAGATGCACTTGAACTTCTATTAACTAAAGAAAAAAGAAAAAAAATGGAAAAAGATCAAATTAAAATAAAATCTAAATTTAACCAAAAAACTTTGCCAGGTCTGTTAAATAAGCAGACAATATGGGACATTGATGACCCAAGATCCAAAGCGATATCGATGCATATAAACCATATGATAGCCGTAGATAATCAGCCGTTTTCTATTGTAGAGGATATTGGCTTTAATCGACTATTGAATCATCTATGTGGAAACTACAAAATTCCATCTAGAAAATATTTTTCGGAAAAATTAACCAACGAAATATATCAAGATATATTTAATAAAATTAAATGTCAATTAGATAGGGAAAAAATTCCCTTTAGTTTTACAAGTGATATATGGTCTAGATGTTCTGGGTCGGATTCACATATTAGCTTGACTTGTCATCTGATTAATGAAAATTTTGAACCAATTGCAAGATTACTTCATGTTGCAACTTTCAATGATTCACACACTGGACAAAATATTGCCGATATTATGAACAAAATGTTGACCAGTTGGAATACCAGTAAATGTAAAATTCATGCTATTGTACGTGATAATGCGCCAAATATAAAATCTGCTTGCAATTTAGGTAATTAAATTATATATATATTTACAAACCTTATTTAGGGAATTATTCATCTGTTTCATGTTTTGCCCACTCCCTACAATTAGTAGTAAAAGAAGGAGTTTTTACACAGAGAGCTATTATTGATATGTTATCTCGAGCAAGAAAGGTTATTGGTCATTTTAATCATTCATCTATTGCTAACAATAGACTCAAAATTATCCAAAAGCAATTAAATTTACCTACCCACAAACTTATTCAAGATGTTGACACAAGGTGGGATTCGACCTTTTATATGCTAGAAAGACTCCTGGAGCAAAAAAAGCCTTACTTATTTATTGTAATGATTTTACCCTCGATATGTTAACTCCAAATGAGTGGTGTTTAGCAAAAAAGGTAAATCTGGCTCTATTACCAATTCAACGCATCACTAAAGAAATTAGTGGAGAAAAAGCATCTATTAGCATAGTAATTCCATTTGTAGAATTACTTAAAAAGGAGCTTACTAGTCATGGTGAGTATGATAAAGGTGTCCAAACTATGAAGGATGCTATGAATAAAGATCTTACCAAACGTTTTTCCTCTATTTATAATGATAAAATATACTTTATAGCAACAATTTTGGATCCACGATTTAAAACCATCTTTTTTTCAATTCAATCTATATCTAACTTTTATAGACAAAAACTACTTCTAGTATGCTTTGACAGTAATCCTGGTGAGATAATTAATTCATCCAGCCTAGGTAAAGAATTAAATCATTTTAATAAATATTTCATTTAAATTTTATAATTTAAACAATTTAGAAAAGGATAATCAAAATATGGAGATAAAAGAAATTCCATCAACATCAGCAATGGATTCAACTGGCATATTTAATTTGTGGGGATCTTATGCTGATGTGGTTAAAGATAACGAGAAATCTAATAACATTACCGGTGTAAATTGTCCTTATTCCCTTGAGATTGAAAACTATATCAATGAACCAGTTTTCAAAGCACTAAATGATAATACCCCTGCGGATCCATTGAAATATTGGGCTGTGATTGCCAAAAATATCCAACCCTATCTAAACTTACTCGTCAATATCTAGCAACACCTGCCACAAGTATCTCATCTGAATCTGTTTTTAGTGAAGCTGGTGATATTGACAGTCCCCATCGCCGCAGACTGACCTCAGATAAATTAGAAATTTTGGTATTTCTAAAAATAAATCTTAGATATATTAATTTTAAATATTAATATCATAATATATGTGTTTATTACTTATTTTATTTTGTAAATAGATTAATGTTATTACTTTTTATATATATGTGATTTATCAATAAAAATATTTTATATACTTATTGAATTGAATATAAGCTTAAGCTATAATAACTGACCATTATAATATATTTAAATGACATATGTTATGGCATAGTTAAATTATAGATGTTATACTAATAAAAAGTTATTAAAAATTAAAACCATTGGTATCTTTATAGAATACAAAATTAGATATGATATAGGATCGGTTATCAGCCAAAATCAATTTAATATTGGGAATATCGGATCGGATCGGCCTTCAAAAAGTGGTATCGGTACACCCCTAATTATAAATATTAGGTCTGCGCCTGTCCTGACCCAAATTTAATTTAAAAATATAACTAAACCCCTATTTAACAATCAATTAATATAAAAATTTATCTTTACCCTAATTCTAGAGAAATCTATTTTCTTATAATCTTTTTTATATATTTTGAGTCGAAAAAATCAAAAGCCTTAGCCCTATTTTCAAAAAACAATGTTTTTTAGACCCAAGCCCATCTTTAACTTATTTCAAGGTTAATCTAAGTCTGTCTAAAGATTGATAAATATAAAATTATAATTTTCATTAAACTCATTTCCCGATATTGAAACTGATGTAATTCATTTAAGATAAATGTATTAGCGATAATGCATTCGATAATATATTCGCACTAATACATTCGCGATAATGCATTCGCGATCATACATTTGCACTAATGCACTCGCGTTAATGCATTCGCTATAATGCATTCGCTATAATGCACTTGCGTTAATGCATTCGCTATAATGCACTCGTGTTAATGCACTCGCTATTATGCATTCGCGTTAATGCACTCGCGTTAATGCATTCTCTATAATGCATTCGCTATAATAAATGGCCGTGACTGCATATAACACCTGTGATATTTAGTGAAAAAACTAAACATAACACCTGTGATATTTAGTGAAAAAACTAAACATAACACCTGCTATATTTTTTTAGTGAATAAATTAAATATCACACCTGCTATATTTTAATTTTTTAATACACTTCGTATATTTAAAATATTAAAGGATGTTTTTAATTCTTCCAATTTTTATTAAATATAATTTTTATTTACTTGAGCTATTAAGGTAATATTTTATATTAATAATCTAAATATTACTGTAGATCCCTATAAGTATTTTTATTGAAGTCTTAAGGAGTAATAATGAAGAGGAATATAAGATGAACTTAGCCATATTTTCAAATATCAATATCATTAAAAATTTTTTTAGCTGAATTCTAAAAATATAACGATGACATAAATTTAGGAATCTTGTAAGAATTAGGAAATAACAAATATAACATAAAGATACACCTTTTTTAAAGGTTACAATGACATTCAAGAAGACCTACTTAATAACCAAAGCTCAATATACACAACACAATCCCTTATAGCAAACAATTCAAATTTACAAACTGCTCATTAAAAAATATGAATATGGGTTTATAAATATTTTATATATGAATATAAATACTTTGATATGTATATGGGTTTATCAAAGCTATATGAATAAATACTTTTTTGATTATGCCCATTAATTGTAACCATATTTAATATGAAAAATATAAATAAAGACTTCTAAAAATATACTCACAAGTTTTATATGGTACAATTTTTTAATGTATTTTGACATAAAATTTATTTTTAGTTTTATAATCTGCAAATTAAAAAATAATTTGAACCCAATTTTTTTTTAAAACACCCTAATATTTAATCAAAAAATATTAATTTATAAAATTTTAATTGCATTGTCCTAATCTCAGACTCATATTTTTTTTAATAAATAAGAATTAAAAACATTTTTTTAATTATAATAATAGCTAGGCTTGGCATAAAAATAAATAAAAATTTTGGAGCTTTGGCTAAAATAATATAAATTTGCAAGGCCCTAGAAAAGTCTTATTTAAAACATTAAGCCAAACAGATAATTAGTCCTCGGAAATCATTTATATTTATTCTTTGACAAAATATGCTTTAATTGAGGGATTTAGTATTGACTTGATAAGCATTTTTTGATAATAAATTTTTATAAAATTCTCTTATTGCAAACAAAAAGAAATGCCACAATTTTGAGAAAAAAGTATACTATATTAAATTATGTCGATGTATAATTTATAGGTAAGGATTTGAACTATCATTTAGTATTTTGTAATTGTGGCAGAAATTGATCCAACCAGCTCTGGTCTTCCCTGCCTACCCTGTGAATAATAGACAGTATTTGAAATCTTTTGACTAAACTTAATTTTGGTAGAAAATATTTATTCAGATCGGTGAAAAATAATTTAATATTTTTTTAAAATTGTATTGTATTATTATAATTATAAATTATTTTTATGGTGAATGCTAAATATAGTAAAATAAATTTTAGAAAAACTGGTTTCAGTTTTGTAAATTTTATAAATCTTTATTTTGGTGCACCACAAACCCTGAACCTGATTCAAAGATATTTCACTGAACCCAACCTGAAACTTTTTTTAGAAAGAGGGTTCACAGTGGAGGTTTGCATTGGGTGGGGTTTTGGCCTGCCCACCCATTTAAATGGTCAGACAGGTGGGCGAACAAAAATATTTTTAAGAATGGGCAGGTGGGTTATTTTAAACTATGGGCTGATGGGTGGGTGGGTTAAAAAATTTAAACCATGGGCAGGTGTGTTAAAAAATTTAGATCATTTAAGTAAATATTAATAAAAAATTCTATGACCTTTTTTTGGATATCTAAAACTTCTATGAACTTTTTTTTGGATATCTAAAATTAAAATGTCCTTTTTTGGTATCATAAAAACTTTTACTTTTTGTATATTTAAAACTTTGGTGAAAATGAGAAGAGATTTGCCAAACCTATCAATATAAGCAATAAAAATATTGGCAATTCCAGCAACTAGTGCTTTTTCTGAACAAGAATTTAGCATTGCTGGAGTTCTTATAACAAATTACATTTTTTATAGCAAACTTAGGTTAAAAAATTTTTATAAATAATGAGTGGGCAGGTAAAAAAATTTTAGATTAATGAGCAGGAGGGCAGTTAAGGAATTTTAGACTAAAGAACGGGAAGGTGGGTAAGAAATTTTAGACCAATGGGTGGGCGGGAATATTTTTTAAAAAAATTATAGGTGGGCGGGTTTTTAAATATTGGGTAGGGAGGCTTATGGTACAAAAACGCACCCAATGCAGACCACTAGTTAACAGCCCTGCCCATATATAACTAATATATTATTATATTTCAAATTTGAATAAAAATTTCATTAGTGATTATAAAAAAGATATAATTGGTTGCAATATTTTATTTATTTAACTTCAAGAAAAAATTTTTAGATTTAATTTTTATAGCAATTAAAACAGCTAAGGTACATATAAAGTGTAATAGCAATGCACTATTTTTTGATAAAATAGCTCATCAGTTTGGAAATTAGTTGTGGCCATAGCAAACTAATTTTTTTGAAAGTAGTTGTAGCTATATAACGCTACTTTTTTAAGTAATGTTACTAAGATATAATAATACTAATACTTAGCATCAATTAATATTGGTACTGATTGACTAATGCAATGTTAATGGTATTTATTTATGTATCAATATTGGCTAATTCAAATATAATCAAAAAATTAATAAAAATCTTAAAATAATTTAATTTCAAGTAATTGTTAAATAAAATATTATGATTAAAAAAATAAATAATTTTTTTTGTATATTTATTAAAACTAAATAAGCTTACTTTGATTTTATAATCATCCCCACCTGATACAAATAAAGGCTGTTGAAGATGAAAACATATACCTCTAACAGGGCCTATACGAATATGTGTAAATATATACAAATTAAGTAAATACCTTCATGTTCATCATATTTATCTAATTGTGTACACATTCGATAATCCCATAATTGAATTTGGCCACTATGTAAACTAGTTAATATCCATGGTCTTTTAGGATGAAATGATAATCCTAATTTTCTTTGATTAACTGGGGGTTATTAATAATAAGAGAAACCTTTTACTCGAGCAGATTTGGTTTCTAGCTTAATCAGCATCGTATCACACGTTTTATATATTAGAATATTAACTAGGAATATAGGAAAATATATATTAATATGTTTAATTAATATTTAGTTAACATATTGTATCAAATTAGGAAAATAAATAATATATTTAGAAAATGTTGTTCTATTAATAAAATTAATCATATTCTACATACCCGAATTAAATTAAATCAATTTTTTTCAATTTAGGTGTCTTACGAATATAAGCAGTGGCGTAGCCACTAGTGTTGTTGAATGGTTGGTTTTTTACGACCCACAACCCGAGCCGAAGTCGTAGAAATCTGCTCAACCCTGAGCCAGGGGTGAAAAATTGACCACGACCCAACCCGACCCAATGGGCCTGTTGAGCTGACCCATTTGGTCGGCTACTGGGTCGGCTTGCTGGGTCGGCTTGCTGGGTTGGCTTGCTGGGTCGGCTTGTTGGGTTTGCTCGCTGGGTCGGCTTGCTGGGTCGGCTTGCTGGGTTGGCTTGCTGGGTCGGCTTGTTGGGTCGGCTTGCTGGGTCGGCTTGCTGGGTTGGCTTGCTGGGTCGGCTTGTGGTCGGCTTGCTGGGTCGGCTTGCTGGGTTGGCTTGATGGGTCGGCTTGATGGGTCGGCTTGACTGGGTCGGCTTGATGGGTCGGCTTGATGGGTCGGCTTGATGAGTCGGCTTGATGGGTCGGCTTGATGGGTCGGCTTGATGGGTCGGCTTGATGGGTCGGCTTGATGGGTCGGCTTGATGGGTCGGCTTGATGGGTCGGCTTGATGGGTCGGCTTGATGGGTCGGCTTGATGGGTCGGCTTGTTGGGTTGGCTTGATGGGTCGGCTTGCGTTAAAATTTGTCATAATCGTCATCTTTAAATTTTTCCAAATTTTTTTGAAGCAAATAGGTAAAAATAAATATTGTAAACATGTTAAATTAAATTTTCAGTGAATATGTACCTTAGAAAAGTGACAATTGTCATAATCGTCATCTTTAAGTTTTTTCGAATTTTTTTGAAGCAAATAGGTAAAAAATAAATATTGTAAACTTGTTAAATTAAATCTTAGAAAAGTGACAATTGTCATAATCGTCATCTTTAAATTTTTCGAATTTTTTTGAAGCAAATAGGTAAAAATAAATATTGTAAATATGTTAAATTAAATTTTCAGTGATTATGTACCTTAGAAAAGTGACAATTGTCATAATCTTCATTTTTAAGTTTTTTCGAATTTTTTTGAAGCAAATAGGTAAAATATATGTTATGAACATGTTAAATTAAATTTTCAGTGAATATGTACCTTAGAAAAGTGACAATTGTCATAATAAATAGTCATTTTTTTTTCGAATTTTTTTAAATTACATAGATAAAAAAATATATTGTAAGGATGTTAAAATATTTCAAATAATTTCTTATAGCAGGGCATAGGCTGGCATGAGATAACTTGCCTGTTGCTGACCTTTAATTTAAACATCTATCAGAAAAATCTAGAGATTTAGACAATATTTTTCTTAAAATATTGGATGTGATAAAAATCGGATCAAATCGAGCCGTTTAACAACCCTATAGCTAATATTTTTAGAATCTTAAACTGACGATTACTAGAACAATAGTTATTGCTCTTATATATATAAGTAATATGATTTGAATCCCATATTATACCAAATATATCGACTCAGGCGCGTACGCGGGAATTCGGTCTTGGGGGGGGGGGGGGATAATAAAATTTTTGAAGAAATATTATTGTTTTTTAAAAATATCAAGCATAAATTTATCAGGACTAATAACTATTTCTAATACACAATTTTAAATTAATGTGAATTATAAAAAAATTATATGTAAAAAATCACTTAAATGACCCAAAATAGAAATTAGAATTTTTTGAGCCTTTACACAAAAAGTTTCTTAGGAATAATTGCATTTTGTATGTTATATATTTACAATGTAAAATCCAATCTTCGTTGAGATTGAGCTAATTTTTCAATTATCTCATTCTTGCTTGTTGTCAAATGCCTATGAATATTCAAAAGATCAAACCTTTAAATCTACTTTCAGATGTTGTACTTCTTGGTATGTTTTTCGGAGACCTGATTTTTTTAAATATACCCGACCAGGGCCCGAAAATTTTTAAAAAAACACCCAAGCCGGGCTGTATTTTTTAGAACAGCCTATATTTGAAATCGTTATTATTCGCTATAAAAATCAAAAATAAATAAAATTTATTTTAAAAAAATCTTGGCTGGGCCTGAAAATTTTATTAAAAGCCGGGCAGGCCTGAAAATTTTATTTTAAAAAAAGCCGGACCGGGCCTAAAAATTTTTACAAAAAAGCCGAGTCGGGCCTAAAAAATTTCTTAAAAAGGCCGGGCAGGGTCTGAAAATTTTATTTTAAAAAAAGCCGGACCGGGCCTAAAAAATTTTAAAAAAAAGCCAAGTCGGGCCTAAAAAATTTTTTAAAAAGGCCGGACCGGGCCTGAAAATTTTATTTTAAAAAAAGCCGGACCGGGCCTAAAAATTTTTAAAAAAAAGCCAAGTCGGGCCTAAAAATTTCTTAAAAAGGCCGGGCCGGGCCTGAAAATTTTTTAAATAAAACCCTGCCGGGCCTTAAAAAATCTTTAAAAAAAATTCGGGTCGTGACCGGCAAATGGTACTTCTACAGGCCTCTGTTATTCTTCTTAAAAAAGAGAATGTTCTCTCATTAGTTTATTAATGGGAAGAGTTTATAAACCCTTTTAATACATTGGGAATTTAATCTAAAATATGTTTGAAATAATGCAGAGCATCCATAGCATTTTTTAGTACTATATCAACCATAGTTAATCTTATAAACATAGTTATTCAGCTAGTAAGGCATCATAAGATACTTTAACATCTTCATAATAAAAATCTAACAAATATTTTTTTTTCTATCACCATCTAAAAAAGGTTGGGAAGGCTTTTGTGGAAGTAATATTTGCAGATTAGTAAGTGTTGCATGATGAATTAAAAATTCATTTATTTGGGTTATAAATGTATCTGTATTTAAGATATACTCTTCTACTGATCCTCCCCCCCCCCCGCTGCGTACGCCATTGAAATCAAGACTTAAAATATTGTATTCAACATGGTAAAAATTATTAACTTTAATTTTAAAACAAAAACACTTTTCAATATGATATATTTTAATAAATACTCTAACTTATTGTACCAACATGGTAAAAATCATTAATTTTAATTTCAAAAACCAAAACACTTTTCAATATGATATATTTATAATAAATACTTTAACTTATTGTACCAACATGGTAAAAATTAATAATTTTAATTTCAAAAACCAAATCACTTTTCAATATGACCTATTGTAACTATTTATCTCAAAACACACATTTCTTTTTTTCCTTTCTTTTAAATAAAAATGGTCAACAATAAAATAATCATTTTATTCAATTTATATTTTTTTATGACTTATTTTTAATAAATAACAAAATTACATTTCAAATCTTCCCTTTTTATCCATACCATAAACCGTCATTTTATTATCGGTGATATAGAAAATTATTTTTAATCCCACATGGGGGTATTATTAATTTAAAGGTTTGGTTTAACAAAACGAAACCCTTCAAAATTATTTCAAAAAATATAATATTTTTATTACTTTTAAAATATAATATTTTTTCCTTACTCTTATAAATTAAAAAAAATTTTTTTACTTTTTATTATGGATTCCTCTCCATCTGACATTCTATCTTTTTTTATATGATTCCCCATTTGAAAATTCAAGTCATTCTCAATTTGGTGAAGATTTTCAGGTAAAATTATATTTAAGTTAGAGACCTTTATGGGTCTAGATTTTAGGACCAAGCCCGGCCCAGGCCAATCGTAAAAAAAAATTTTAAGCCCAGACCCGGCCCGGCCCGTTTTTAATATTTAAAAAAATTACCAAGCCCGCTATAATATTTAAAAAATTTCCCAAGCCCATAAAATTATTTTGTGTATACTTAACTTATGCTGAAATATTTTATTTAGTAATAATATATCATCTCAACAATATTTATAAATAATATGTAAATTTAAAGTGAATGGAATATTTACATTGTAATTGTATGGATAGATTTATTTGATTAATTGTTTAAAGGAATATTTAAAATTCAATTAAAGTTGCATCTAAATTACATTTATTACAATAAATATAAAACTCTAAAAGAAAATCTTTTTGCAATAATTTGATTATGATATCTATGTACCTTGATTTGATTTGCAAGATATATCATGTTTCATACTTATGATTTTTTATGGTGTATGTATATATTCATAACCTTTATAGTTTATGAAATTATGTCCTTTTTGAGTTTTCTAATTTAAATTTTATTTTCAAATATTATAAAAAGTTTACTTGAATATCTATTCTATTTGTCTACGTCTAACAATTGTTTTTAAATTTTCTGCTACTGTTGGGATTTTGCTTTGAATATGACGCTAACTTGGGAAAATAAATGTCATATCGAAAATGTTGGTCATCTTTGGGAACATTTTTGGGAATATTCCCTGATTTTCGCTGTTTCTTTTTTCGCTGTTTCGTGCCCAGGCCGTTGTGTTAATTTAAGTAAAATTATACCAATTTCCGATTTAAAAAAATATATACTCTCTCAAGGTGTATAGGAAATTTGATAAATAACACTAATAAAATCAGAATGATTTGTTATATTTGTCCTATTAAATATCCTTAAAATAAGCTAAATTTGAATTTAAAAATTTTGGCCCAAGCCCTATTGCAAAAATTTCCAACGAACCCAAGCCCGGCCCAGGCCCTCTAGAAAATTTATAATGCCGTGGGCCGGCCCGACCCATGAAGGTTTCTAATTGCAGCTAGCTAAAGTGACCATTAAATCCTGACCCATATATAAATCATACAAATGATATTTTTTTTAAAAAGATATTAGATCAAAGTTTGGTTCCGCTGAAATCTTCCAATGATCCTTGTGTCAAAAAAATTATTTTGGATACACCGAGAAATGGGAATAGAAAATGTACTTTTTGTAACAAAACCTATCGCATAAGTACATCATCAAGTAAATTTTTTTTAATAT